CGCTATACGCTTGCTAGGAACATTTTTTCTTCGTGGAAGTTTTGCTTTTGGTGAGCTAATAAAATATTAAAACTCAGTCGAATCAATATTTTGTGTACAGTTAGTTAATTATGCCATCCAGTATCATAGCTTCGCTCTCTCTTGGCACGCGATGACCTCATGGAAAAGGACAGATGGGCCCATTTACCCTGGGAGCTTTGGCCCCATATACCCTAGTCTTCAGCTATTGCTCTGTTTTGCCAGTTTATGTGCTTATGTTTAGAAGATTCCTCATCACTTCAACTCTGTCTCATAAGCCTGCGAGTTGCTTTAGATGCTCTCTAGCTCCCCTCTCATGTTATTATCACTCAGAGTAGGATGCTGGTATAATGGGTATAGTGGCACAGTTGGCACAGAGGAAGAGTGAGACTTGTGAGCTCGGTGTCTGGGGGAGATCCTCCCCGCGGTGGCTGTGAAGCAGTCTTTGATGTGGACGTACCCAGCAGAGCGAGCTTCTTGGCCAGAGAGACAGCCTGGGTGGAGGTTGCTCTCTGATCTCTGTCACTTCAAAGCAGGTGTTCTTTCTTTCTCAGTTCTCCATCCTTTCATCCCTTTACTCCTTTACCATTCCCCTCGCTTACTGGCTTGTTCACTCCCCCTCTGTCTCTCATCGTCTCAGCCAAGATTCCCACACAGTGGCGACAATGACATCAGGACTGATGGACGTTTCTGAGACCTTTTTGTGAGACGTTCACATAATGCTCATCTGTCATTTCTCTCTCTGCCTCGCCTTGTTATTTTTTCCTGATTCACACACACATTAAAAACCTCCTCCTCTCTTTGGCAGAATCATCAGTTGACATTTATTTTGTTGTTCTCAATATTACTGGAATTCATACGAGATGCTTAGTCACACATATCTGGCTGTTTTTAAAACAACATATCAAATCACCAAATGTGGCAGTAACAAATATGAGAACACAAACAGTTATGTGGAATTAAAATAAAGCGTATTGTAAAGGAAATTGGACTGCATAGTGCAATGCGTGTATATCTCACAAATGCCCTCGCCTCACCCCAACTTACAGGTATAGCTCACCCAAAACTGATCTGCTCACCCTCATATTGTTACGGTTGTGGTGCAGGTTGAAGGAGAGGCAGCAGTCAGCAGATCAAATTCAATAATCTTTACTAAGGAAACCAAACTTAAACAGATACAAGTCTTTGGGACCACAAACACACGTTACACATCAACGAGAACAGACAAGGAGTGAGGGAGAACACAGGGTTTACATACACAGAGAACGGATCATGGGAACAAGACACAGCTGGGGCAAATTAACTAGACACAGGTGAAGGAACTGAACACAAACGAGGAGCGGGAAAACTAACACAGGACTAAACCAAATCACAATGACGGGGGAAAACACAGGAATACAGACACAAGACAGACATAACTGTAACATTACGCCCCTCCTCGAAAAGGCGTGTCCCCACGCCGTATAAACATCAAATAGGGGCGGGAGGGTGGGCGCCCTGGAGGCTGACGAGGGCGTGGCTTTTTCCGGAACAGGAAGCCTCCAGGGCGGAGCAGGCCGTGCTGATAGCCAGGGTGAAGACGCCTCTTCAGGTGGCCAGGGTGGAGACGCCTCTTCCGGTGGCCAGGGCGGAGAGACCCCCTCGGGTGGCCAAGGCGGAGCAAGCTGGTCAGGGGGCCATGGCGGAGACGCCCCTCCAGGTGGCCTGGGCGGAGACGCCTCTTCCGGTGGCCAGGGCGGAGCAAGCTGGTCAGGGGGCCATGGCGGAGACGCACCATCAGGTGGCCTATATCCCCCCCCCAAAATTTTCTTGGGGAGAGTGCCAGGCTCAGGGACGTGCATCAGGTCAGGCTTGGGAGGGCTGGATGGGACCAGTAGAGAAGGCTCTGTAGGGCTGGCTTGAAGCTCAGGCTCTGGCGGGCAGGCGACGGGCTCAGGCTCTGGCGGGCAGGCGATGGGCTCAGGCTCTGGCGGGCAGGCGACGGGCTCAGGCTCTGGCGGGCAGGCGACGGGCTCAGGCTCTGGCGGGCAGGCGACGGGCTCAGGCTCTGGCGGGCAGGCGACGGGCTCAGGCTCTGGCGGGCAGGCGACGGGCTCAGGCTCTGGCGGGCAGGCGACGGGCTCAGGCTCTGGCGGGCAGGCGACGAGCTCAGGCTCGGCAGGGCTGCAGGGGAGCTCAGGCTCGGCAGGGCTGCAGGGGAGCTCAGGCTCTGCAGGGCTGCAGGGGAGCTCAGGCTCGGCAGGGCTGCAGGGGAGCTCAGGCTCGGCAGGGCTGCAGGGGAGCTCAGGCTCGGCAGGGCTGCAGGGGAGCTCAGGCTCGGCAGACGTGACGGGGAGAAACACTGGCTCAGAGTCAAAGTCTATAAGGTTCATCTCCTCTGGAACCTGGACGAGGAGAGGAACTAAGGACTCTGGTGTGACTATCTCGGCGGGACTAGACTCTGGGATGATGGTTGGCGTGGTGGAGATGGCTGGAGTTGGTGGTTGAGTGGCGATGTCATCAACCTCAACTACGGTGAAGGGTGAGCCACTCAACCATAGCACATGATCCAGGTAGTGGGCAAAAGATCCTGGGATTACCGCCGCTGGAGCTTGATGATGAAGGGTATCATCTAACCCAAACCAAAAGACGGTCTTCTGGACCTCTTCTGCCCAGCTTACCCCTTCGGAGAGCTCCAGGAATTCAGCAACATACTCCTCGATGTGCCGGCCGTCTTGGAAACAGATCAGCTTAGATTCGTTGGAGTTGGAAGGGGTGAGGAAAATACCCATCTTGTCACTTTCTGTCTAGGTCGGTTCTTCTGTTACGGTTGTGGTGCAGGTTGAAGGAGAGGCAGCAGTCAGCAGATCAAATTCAATAATCTTTACTAAGGAAACCAAACTTAAACAGATACAAGTCTTTGGGACCACAAACACACGTTACACATCAACGAGAACAGACAAGGAGTGAGGGAGAACACAGGGTTTACATACACAGAGAACGGATCATGGGAACAAGACACAGCTGGGGCAAATTAACTAGACACAGGTGAAGGAACTGAACACAAACGAGGAGCGGGAAAACTAACACAGGACTAAACCAAATCACAATGACGGGGGAAAACACAGGAATACAGACACAAGACAGACATAACTGTAACACATATCATTTATAAAACATAATTTTACGCATACAATAGCTTTGTGTGAGAAACAGGCCAAAGCAAACTGATAATCCCATTTCAAATTTGTGCATGAAAGAACTACTTTGTTTGCACATTAACTCATGTTCAAACATTTTGGGTCAGCAAGAATTTCATTTAAAAATATATATTTTTATTTTTATAATATTTTTGTAATTTACAGTTAAAACATTTTACCAAAAATGTTACCAAAAATATGTTTCAAATAAATGCTGTTATTTTAGGATTTCTATATGCATCAAAGAAACTTTTGTGTGTATACTGTATATATTCCATATAGTGGCATATTACATGTATTTAGTGTACAAGTTTAAAAACAAGATTTTATTTTATTTAGGATGTGGAATGGGTTGCATTGAAGAATTGATGTTTTGCTTTCATTGAGGTATGCAGACTTTTTTAAAGAAAAAAGGTTTAAATTTCCATTTGCAATTTAGTTCACATTGTTTTGTTTCATGCCACTTCTTGTGAAAATGCCTTTATTCTGTGCCTTGTTCTTGTTTTCTTAATCTCTTCTTGTGTTAGTCCTTATAGATTTTCTTTTGTTCTGCGTTTTTATTCGTGTGTGCATGGATTAGAAGCCCAGCCACCCCACATGGGTGGAGAGCTTAAACCAGGTATAGAAGCACATCAGAACGCTGCAGTGCCCTTCACTCTTACGTTATTGGCCTTTTCTGAGTCCTTCGTGTGTCAGCTCTGACCTCAGATCAGCCCTGCAGACCCAGACGGGCAGAGACAGGTCATCTGAGATCAGACTTACTGTTCAGACCCTGGTGATGTGACCTGGAAGCCTTAGGCACAGAAGGTGAAATGAGTCTGAGGGAAAAGAAAGACAGAGTAAGGCCAGTGAAATGAAAAGAACTTTAAAACATGTAGGGTGTAAATACAGGTAATTGTGCAGACAGTGGGAAGTGTTTAGTAACGTTTTCAAGAGTGACTGGCTGGTCTCATAACAAGTTATGTAATAGCTGATTCATTCATTCTGGTCAGTTGCATACAGAATCGTTCACATTCTGATGCACAGATGGATGGTCTGCAACTGCTGATGAGGACAAGTCACATATTTAAGAAATATCACACAAGCAATAGTGCTGTTTTGCTGAATATTAGCTGTAAATGTTTTTATTTTAATAAATAAATGTTTATGTTTCTTTTCCCAGTGACAATTCTTTATTCCTCTTAAATCATAAAATATATATTTTTTTTTTAAACCCAGCCGAATATATACTCTTTTTATACTTTATCTTTATTTAACTTTATCTTGCTTTTATGTTTAGATATTTTCACTGGAAAACAAGACAATGCTGATTAAGGAATTAAGAAAAGTTTTTGTAGCTTTTTTTTACTGTAGCAAAGTTGAAAGCTTAAGTTTGATGTTGGATAACAAGCATGTGATACTACCCAACATCCAGTGACAGGGAATAATGCCTCCATAACTCTCATTTACTTAAAGGTTTCTTGTTTGTACTCTGAATAAAGATAATTTCGGATGAAAGTGATGAGCTATGGCCTTTTATGGATTGCCTAGTTGGATGATTAATGAACCACTTCTGTTCCAAACTTAGGCTTGCACTTAATTAAAACTTTCAGTCTGACCACTAATCATAATTTACATCCCCGAACCTCAGGACAAATTAATAATAAAATGTGCAATTTGCTTCCACACCAGTTAATGTTTTAACTGGCTAGAGATATCATGCCGGGGGTGAAGCAGTTTTCCAGTGCATCCACCGGTTTTTGTCCTTCATAATGGTGTCGACCTGCTTTGTGACATTTTACCTTTTTCTTGTTATTCTTTCAGAGATCTCGGTTTCCACTCCAATTTCCCGGCAAAACAAGAGTCTGTAGTCCACCTGCGCTCACTTTCTCTCCTCTTATTTATATCTGTATTTCTGTCGGATTGTGTGTTTTTTTTTTCTGTGTATGCCTGTACTTAAATGTGAGTGTGTGTGAGTGTTCATTAAAAGAGTCTATTTTTAATGATTTTTAATCAGAGCTTTGTACTGTAATGTGCATTTAATTGCTCCTTACCTCTTCAAAGTGGACTCGAATCAAAGAACAAAATCCAAATAGACTAAATGTTGCTGTGGGCTTCTATGCCAACGTTAAAATCTCTTTTCTGTCATTTATCGCTGATTCTTGAGTACTGAGACACAACTGGCTGTGCTTTTGCTCGCCTATAATTCAATTTGGGTAAACACTACGAATCTATCATTCATTTCAATTAATTAATGAACTGATACTACATAGCATTTTAAACTGTTTTTCAGCTCTATTCTATTAACATCATTTTAAGGTGTGTGTGTGTGTGTGTGTGTGTGTGTGTGTGTGTGTGTGTGTGTGTGTGTGTGTGTGTGTTGTTGTTGTTGTTGCTACTAATATGACTTACTTAAATGGGTAAAATATTCTAAACAATTAACATATCCAGGTTGTGACAAAAATATATAAGCACAATAAATGAAATGGTACATTTGTGTTAAAATCATTAATTGCAAGGTACAAATGTTGATTTTATTTGTCAAAATTATGTGTTTTGTCCAGTCTCAAGAATCAGTTGTATGCTAGTTCTCATATCAGCTCATGTTGATCTTTTGCTACACTGTGCTCAAAATACATGTGTATATTTATTTTTCTAGAGCGCAAATATGTAATCTGTGAAAGAAAAACCTGTAATTGTGACATTCTTTTTATGAACCTTCTTTATAAGGCAATTTGATTGTTAGAAAGACATAATTGGTGTACATTTCTCTTTTAAGATTGTAACCTGCTGTCTGTGTTTACCAAAAACTGGTATCATAAACTGACATTTGAATGCAGCAGGTAGCCTGCCGTTATAGAACACCTGTTGAGAGAGAACAGAGTTATTGTTTTCATTTGCATAACCATAAAACCATAGGCTTTCTTTCCAAAATGATTAATATTTAAAATGTTCAGTATATCGTGTTGTATTGCACTGCTCATATTTAGGTTGAGGGTTAGGTTAGGGTTAGGCTAACCCTAACCCGTATATTGTTTATTTGCCGGCTTTGATTAAACAGTACAATTTAAAAACCAATCTGTCCATTTATTTCGCTGTCTGTCTATCGCACACACACTTAAAGCTCATAAAACTTCAATAGCTTGTGAAGGCAAGAGAACTGACATACAAATAATGGAAATAATAGGTTTGTACTGGATCAGTCATTCACCTGCTAATCAATATGAGACAGGAACTTCATGGCACACTGTTCATTCAGAGACAGCAACATGCCCACTATGCTTCCCTCTCAGAGTGATTATCTTCACTGTCTGATGATCTCTGTTGTGAGCAGAGAAAGTCAACGTGCAATTTGAATGGGGTATAGTTATAGCTTTTTCTGTCATAGCAATTTCGTCTGGTACATCGGTGATGGCTGCTGCAGAATGTTAATGCTTGGCTGCTGTGTTTATGAATTAATGTAGAAGCTGTAGAAGCGTATGCGTTGATAAATGTGAAGTACATGAGAAGGGTTAGCTTTCATTCGAGCATTCAGCTTCTTTTTTGTTCTTACAATTTAACTGAGGGAATGTATAGGATATACTGTATAGGAAGGGGTCAAAGTTTGACAGGTTAGCTTGTAGATGTTATATACACAATTTGGCTGATAATAGAATCTTTCTTCATTGGTGACCATTCAAAAGATGGCAGATTTCAAATTGCATACATTCAACTGAGCAGCTGCCATTAAGTTGAGTGGGAATCCACACGGTTCTAAATTAAGGCCTTGTCAGATTAGTTATAGCTAACATTTACTACTGCTAAGTTAGAAAGAAACGTTATCACTGAGAGTCTGAGAGCCCTAATTTGTAAGATATTTGTAAAGCTTGGATTATAGCCATGCATATAGCTTAATGTTGTTATAATGTTCCTTGTTAGCTAAGGGGCTGTTTACTCGACACCGTTTTTAACTAAAAACGTAAAACTTTTTATGCATTTAGGCCGTTCGTTTACACGCCAATGGCATTTTGGGTGGCTGAAAACGCAGACTTTTGGAAACGAGTTTCAAAGTGGACGTTTTTGAAAACGGTCTCCGTGTAAACAATAAAAACGTGAATCTGTGAAAACAATGACGTCATGCCCATGCGTATTACATGTTCAGTCTATAATGTTTCATCGCCATCTAATGGCCTGGCAGCAGAATACAGCGTTTTTAGTCGTGATCCGTGATAACGGGGATCATTTTGACAATGGAGTCGTCTGTATACGCGAAAAACTCAAAGTAAAAACTTCTCAGTTTTGAGCAGATTGTTGTCATGTAAACGTACCCTAAATCTGTGTATGAATGTAACAATTAAAAGTTACCAAAAATGCTTACGAAAACTGTAACATAAAAAAATATGTATTGCAGTGATATATGAGATGTTGCACAACAATGCATCTTTAGTATTTGTTTTCTGTCACCATGCTAATCCAAAATGTGCAAAGAACTCAGAGAGAAGGTTTTAAATATATGAATGTGTCACATGTGTCTGTGCGGTGAAAGAAGCGCACAACGAAATACAATAACAACAGTCTTTAATATAACACTTTTGAGATAACTGGAGGAGAATTGGATAACACAGCCACTAGCATAAACGATGCAAAACAGGACCAAGGACTGAACAAAAGAGAGAAAATACTGTATATCAGACTAAACGAGGGAACTAATAATTAACAAACAGCAGGTGAACAGAATGAAACTGACACAGAGGAAACTAGGTCAACTTAGAATGACCAAAACAAACACACTGAACAGAACATAATCCTAACAGAATGTTAATTAATCATTATGGGCACCAGGTACACTGCCGTTCAAAAGGTTGGGGAGACCAAAAAAATTTACCAACCAGGTTGATACATTTTTTTTTGGTCTCACTTTAGATTAGGGTCCAATTCTTTCTATTAATTAACTACTACAACTTTTGCCTCAATAAACTCCTAATTGTTGCTTATTAAAATTTAAAATGTAATTTATTGCTGTGACAGCAAAGCTGAATTGTCAGCATTATTACTACAGTCTTTTCAGCATTATTACTACAGTCTTTTCAGCATTATTACTACAGTCTTCAGTTACATGATCTAAAATGCTGAATCTAAATTTTGATGCTGGAAAACCTGCTTTTTTTAGGATTCTTTGATGATTAGAAAGTTCAAAAGGATAGCATGTAAGAAATAGAAATCTCTTGTAACATTATACTTGTCTTTACGGTCACTTTTGATCAGTTTAATGTGTCCATGCTAAATAAAAGTATTATTATTATTATTATTATTATTATTAAAGCTGCAGTCTGCATTTTTTCCTCTTTGTCGCCATCTCTGTTCGAAATATGCAATTGCAGTCATTCGCGGAATTATCAACTTAACGTGAGTTGTACTTCGACACGGCACAAGCGCGGATGAACACAGTGTTTGAGGAGAGTGTGCAGCTGTCAGTCACCCCGCCGTTGTGGATACTGGCATTCAGAATCACAGATTATTCTTTTTGGAAGTATGACTAACATAATTTTCACCGGAAAATGTCATCTGAACAAGTAAGAAACATCCACTTTTGTTCTGGTTCTGACATTGCAGTAAATCGCGCTGATTAAATCTAAAAATCGCTTATCACGCTAGGGATGTCCCGATCCGATCACGCGATCGGAAATCGGGCCCGATCACGTGGTTTCAGACTCGATCGGAATCGGACGTTACCTCCCGATCAGGACTCGGATATATGTAAATTAGTTGTGTAACGGTACATGTATTCGTAATTATTGAACCGTTTCGGTACGAGGCTTCCGGTTCGGTACGCATACAAACCGAACGATTCCTAGGACCATTTTTCCTGCAGACAAAATCCGCGCTGGCGCAATCACCACAACGTTGTGCAACATCAAATGGCAAATGTAATGAAAGCGGAACGAAACTGCGCTACTCATTATATTGTGCTTAACGGACCCTTTATCAGTTCGGACCAGCAACATCTGTGTAGCGCGAGATCAAGCGACACTGTGCTAAGAGATCCAGTGAAGAAAACATTTGAATTCGCCACTGAAGTAATAACATCGCTGCGAGATCTAGTGAGAAGCATTCAAATTTCTCCGTTATTAACCGTAGATCTCTATTAGATCAAACAGCGCTGACGTGGAAACCAGGAGAAACATTGTGCCGTGAATGAACATGGATTTAATGTTGCACTTCAAAACTCAAATATTATATAAATATACACTACCGTTCAAAAGTTTGGGGTCGGTACGATTTTAAATACTTTTAAAAGAATTCTCTTCTGCTAACCATGGCTGCGCTTATTTGATTAAAAATACAACAAAAATCAGTTATAGTATTAAATATTATTCCAGTGTAAATCAGCTGTTTTCTGTGTGAATATATAGTAAAGTGTAATTTATTCCTGTGATCAAAGCTGAATTTTCAGCATCACCAGTGTCAGTGTCTTCAGTGTCAAATGATCCTTCACAAATCAGTATAATATGAGGATTTGATGCTCAAGAAACATTTATTATTATTATCAATGTTGAAACAGTTGTTGGTCTGTCAGTTGTACAGTTTTTTTTTTTTTTGGATTCTTTGATGAATAGGAAGTTCAAAAGAACAGCATTTGTTTGAAATAGAATCTTTTGTAACATTATAAATGTCTTTACTGTCACTTTCGATCAAATTAAGTATTGATTTCTTTCCTCCAAAAAATAAAAAATAAAATTCTCACTGACCCCAAACTTTTGAACGGAAGTGTATATTGAAATGTTATTTTTAATGTGATTACCAAAACATTATTTGTTCGTCCTTCAAAGATTACCCCCATTTATAAACCTGAAAGTTTCAAGATGTAGGAAAGCTCATTTCTCTGCCATTTCTTTCTTTATGCTGTATCGTATCGAACCGCATCGCAAATTTTGTGAACTGTTACACCCCTAATGTATATATATATTCTCATTATTTTTTTATACACTTTTAAAACATTTTTATTTTTTGTTTACATGCCTGCCGGGTATTTGAGGTGCTATTTGTTTTTATATTAGACTTTTTCTATATTTACTGTTGCACTAAAGTCCAAAAGTGAAGATTTTATGTTATTTATTACTTGATTGTTCAAGCTACCTCACAGAAGTGCTCTGTTTGTTAACAGAGTTGTTGAATGTTAAAATAAGGTGAATTAAATAAAAAATAAGGAACATCCTGGATCTGTTTTTTCTCTCTTCT